TCACAATCAACAACACTATCAACCCCTCCAGTCAAACCAGGGTGCAATCTTTGATTCTGAGCTTTTCTTTCAGCCCCACATCCAATCACTATCTAAATGTTGCCAACTCAACCTCCGTAACATTTCTAAAATACGCCCCTTCTTAACAAATGATGCCACAAAGCTTCTAATCCACTCCCTTGTAATCTCTCGCCTCGACTACTGTAACTCCCTCCTCGTAACAGGCTATCTCCCTTCAGTCTATCATGAATGCTGCTGCCATACTCATTCACCTCACCAACCGTTCAGTGTCTGCAGTCTCTCTCTTCCAAACCCTCCACTGGCTTCCAACTGCCAACAAATAAAATTCAAAATACTAACGACAACACACAAAGCCACCCATAACTCAGCCCCCGACTACATCTCCAAACTCATCTCAAAATATCAACCAAACTGTCCTCTCGTCTCCTCTCAAGACCTCCTGCTCTCTAGCTCTCTCATCACCTACCCCCATGCTCGCCTCCAGGACTTCTCCAGAGTGTCTCCCATCCTGTGGAACTCCTTACCACAATCTCTCCACTTATCTTCTACGTTGTCCACCTTTAGGTCATACTTAAAAACTCATCTCTTCAGGGAAGCCTATCCCACCTCAACATAACTGCCCTTTTATTTCTTCCATTAACTCAATCTAAACAAGTATTACCTTATGTGTGACTTGCCGCCTCCTACTAGATTGCAAGCTCTCACGAGCAGGGTCCTCCTAACCCTATTGTACTGAAATTGTATTGTAAATTGTAGGGATGTCCCGATACCGATGCTAGCATCGGTATCGGGCCCGATACAGGGCATTTTGACAAGTACTTGTACTTGTCAAAATGCCCCAATGCACAGCGCCGAAGCTTGCGCTGTTTTTTTTCCTTACCTTCCGTGCCGTGGTGGCTGGGGTCCTCTGGGAAGGCTGGAGGAGCGTCACATCACTGCTGTGGGCGGAGCATATGAGGTACTTACTTGTACTTGTACTTGTACTTAAAAAAGTGGCATCGGGACATCCCTAGTAAATTGTATTGCAACTGTATTGTCTAGCGCTGTGCAAACTGTTGGAGCTATATAAATCCTGTATAATAATAATAATACTTTTAATCGATGAATACAAGTCATTCTGTGATTGGATGAGGGGCAAATCCTGACAGCATAGCGTAGTGCCAGTGCCTCGAAAGATGCTCCATCTACTATACAGTGCTTTCCATGATCCCTGTGGACCAATCAGGTATGATATTTTACAAAAAATTTAATCTCTGCCCTAATGTAAAGGAAATTTGCATACCTACATTGGGCCAAACTAGAGCAATGTAAGCGCAAACACTAAGTTCAGGTTCACTGAATTTTAAACAGGATCTGTAAACCCCTCAGTGAATCAGACCCGACCAGATTTCCCCATGCCTATTAATCATCAAGGTTCAGCTTCAGGCAACAGCTACAAAGGTCTCTGTATACCTGTCACTTTTCCATTTCTAAGAAGCCAGTTTTTTTTTTATCAATGCCTTCTACTGCTGTGGAACTGTATTTTGATGGAGACACAGCCAAGGCTCCTGAAATGTACCTGAACTATATGAGCCTGCTTAGTATAAAAATGCAATTAGGCCATGCAGGGCAAAGTAACAAGTTTTACTAAGCACCCTCTTTCTTGAATAGCGGGGTGCTTTTCCCTGTAGGCTTCTGTTTTAGTTTGAATTTCAGGCTAAGCCGCACAGTTGCATCATTCATTCACATAAATCTGTCATGTACCATCTGCCACTGCACCATTGGGACTGGTAGATCTCAATAGAGCACTAGTGCAAGGATATCACCGCACAGGGGCGTCCCGCGGCCGGGTGTCACCTGGAGCGGAGACCGGGTGACACCCCGCTGTGCCTTCATCATGCATGCGCGTGATGACATCACCACGCGTGTGCGCAATGACTTCATCGCGCATGCTCGACCATCTAATGGGCACCTGCCGACGCCCATCTTGGTTATGGATGCCGGCAGAGAGAGGAGGGGACGTTCACCTGGCAGCATGAGGTATGCCACCGGGTCCCCTTCTCTTTCCTAACACTGTCGAGCTCTCGGTCCATGGCCGAGTGCCCGACTTTTTACAGTCATTTTGGTGTCACCCCTCCAATGGTGTCCAACGGCACACCACACCACCCCTGTCACCGCACTATCTCCATATTCCTAGAGCTGAATAGTCTGCAGGAGCCTGAGCACTACACTTGTGATCCACTGATTGCAGCTGTAAAGCTTTGCAGGCTCCAGTGCAAAAATGAACAAATGCACATATTTGCTTTTATTAATGTGTGTGCATTTGTTATTTTTTTAAATTTTCAAAATGTGGACTATGCCTTTAAAGCAGATCTCTAGGATTTTCAAAAGTTAATCCCAGCAGAGGGGCTACCCCTGCACTGCAAGGGTTCACTGCTCCTTTTGGTCTTGGTATACTTACCTGATTGTCGATCCTGACAACACCATATTATCAGATTTGTTTGCCGGGCTCGTTGCAGATTGGCTGGAAAGCTGGCTTCCTGGCCAATCAGTATCGAGCCAGCCAAACAGCATGGAGCCAGCTTCCCGGCTCCATGTTCCCTCGCGGCACTGCCAGTCAGAGGAAATCTCCCTCTGACCAGAAATTTCAATATCGGGAAAGGTATCAGAGCATTTAGGTGAGTATGAGTACTCGCCCAAATACTCAGTATTGGCACCGATACCGATGATAGTATCGGTATCAGTGCATCTCTATACAGTATACAACAATGCAGAATACCACCAGCTAGAGAGGACTACAAATCACAGCAATACATTATACAGCCATGCCGAATGGCAACCTGCTGTAGAAGACTAAAAATCCCAGCAATGCATTATACATCAATGCAGAATAATATGAAGCTACATACTCAGTGCTCCTCCTGCCTGATGTCTGCAGCAGAAGATCTCAGTTGGGTGGGCGGACTCACAGGTGAGCTATGCGGGGTCTATGGTGGGTTGTGCAGGGTTAATGGTGGTCTGCGCGGGGTTAATGGTGGTCTGCGCGGGGGTTAATGTTGGCTGTGCAACTGTCAGGTTATTGTGCGGGGTTATTGGTGGTCTGTGTGGCTCTCAGGTGGTCGGTGTTGGGGTTTAAAGGAGAACTATGGGGTTAAGTCTTTTCCCCATAGTTCTCCTTAGGGTAACGGGAGGACACAAACTAGCGTCTGTAGCTCGCGGTATACTGAGACGCCGCAGCTGAAGCGGATCCCGACAATTGTGCCGGGATCCGCCCAGCTGCGTGACTGACAGCTGGCTCTGCCTCTACCTCTGTACCCGCCCCCTCCCCCTGATAACATGATTAGGTTAATCATGATCCATAGTACAGTACAGTACAGTCCATAGTACAGTACTATCTGATTGGACAACACATTTTATAGGAGACATACTCCGCGCTGGCGGATCGGAGGGGGGAATCCATCCCCTCCCCTGTCACGGCAGAGAGCCGTGACTGGATCGAGAGGTGAGCGAACACCGGTATGTGTTCGCTCACCTCCCGATCTACTGAGCCGACCTGTGACAGTCTCATTGTCACAGGTCGGCTAGAACTATGAGGTGAGTGAAAAGCACTCACGTTATAGTTCTCCTTTAATGGTGACTTTGGGGCTCTCAGGTGGCTGTGTGGTGTTAATGGTGGCTACGTGACTCTGAGGTGGCCTGTGAAACTCTCACCCCTACAGTATACAGGGAATAAAGAAGATACACTCACCCGATCCTGGATCCTGCAGTGGTGACCACTCATTTCTCTGCTCCGGCTGTCCTAGAACAGTGACCACTCACCTCTACCCCTCTGCTCCGACTGTCCTGCAGCGGTTACCACTCACAAATCTCCCCTCTGCCTTGGCTGTCTTGCAGCGGTGACCAGGCCCGGATTCCCCACAAGGCCACCGAGGCCCGGCCTCGGAGCGGCACGTAGCAGAGGGGCGGCAGCGCCGTGGAGTCCCCCGACGCCCGGAACATGTAGTTCCAGGCGCCGGGCGGTAAGTGGGGAATCCGGCCGTTCGTTTACAAGTGATTGCGGCGATGTCGCTGCGATCACTTGAAATATGTGTGCAGTCCCCTCCCCGCACCTACCTCTCTCCGCTGGTCTTCGGGACTTCTCTCGGGAGAATCTCTCTCCTGTCCCTGCCGCCGATGCAGTGAGCAGAGCGGCAGGGTTAAAACTAACCCTGCTGCTCCGTGTACACAGTGAGAGGGGAGAGCTGTGCTCTTCCCCTCTCACCTGTTACAGGAGTTCCAGCACAGTACTGTGCTTGAGCTCCTGCATTGGAGGTGACAGGGTCAATAAAGAGAACCTGTCACCTCCAATTGCTATCACACAGGAGATTGTTTTCTCCTGTGTGGTAGCAATAAAGTTAAGTGAAATTTTTTTAATAAAAAATAAACCTGCAGCGGTGACCACTCATCTCTCACCCCTCTCCTCTGGCTGTCCTGCAGCGGTGACCATTCACCTCTCCTCCCTCTGCTCTGGCTGTCCTGCAGTCATGACCACTCACCTCTTCCCCCTCCGCTCAGGTTTTCCTGAAGCGGTAACCACTCACTTCTCCCCCCTCTGCTCTGGCTGTCCTGCAGTCATGACCACTCACCTCTTCCCCCTCCGACTGCGAATGTTAATTTTTAATAAGCCTGGAGTTCTTCTTTAACTTGTAAAGTGTATGAGTTTTTAGTGATTATGTTTGCATAAATATAAAAGTTTATTACTTCTGGAGTATAGCAAAACGTTCTGGATGACATGTCCCTTCTATAGGCAATCCCTATCCACAGGTGTCCCTTCTGTACGTAACCCGACTCTTCATCTCCCCCAGCTCCCCGCCGCCTGACTTATTTATAGCGCATGCACAGTCCGTACCAGCGAAATCTATGGCTTTGTCTGTGACGCATGCGCAGTCAGTACCAGTGAACTATAGGGCTTGTCTGTGACGCATGCGCAGTCCGTAGCAGGAAAGTGCCGTGACAGCCCGAGTTCCTCCTGACGCCAGATTTCCTGACATGCGCGGTAGTCAATGCTGCTGTAATGTTTTGGTTGTTCCAGTGATATTTTAACACCTTTTTATTAATAGTCACCTCGCTGGCTTGTGGCGTTTGTACACGATCCGGACCGCAGCGTAGAAGTCATGTCCCGGGTCCGGCAACCTCCGCTTGTGACAGGGATCTCACCCAAAGAGGGGACATCATGGACTAAAGTGACCATCAGAGGGGAAAACCTGGGTACCGGCCCCTCCGACCTGATAGGTAATGTTATACACTTCTAGATCTTGGTGATCAGATGGATCAGAGAAGGTTCTAGAGCTTCTGATCAGCTCATGCTATATACACCATTGTAGAATCAATCAGCACTGTATAGGTGAGAGGGTTTATCATGCTGCTCATGTCATCTCTATTTTCATGAATGACTGCTTTAGGAAGTGTGTATTAGATTGTGTTATTGTATGTCTTCATAAGGACAGCGTTGTAAGGATCACCATTGGTGATGTGTGTGGTGTGTATTGAGTTCAGCTGAGCTTGTCCCAGCCTGCGCAAAACTGTCCCTGTCACCCCCCTCCAGGCCCATTCAGTTGTGGCACGGGCATTCTCCACCCATTTATGCCCTGGCCAGAGGTGTAACTAGAACCTTCAGGGCCCCGGTGCAAGAAACCATAAAGGCTCCCCCCAACCGCCATGGCACTGCATGGCTAACAGAAAGGCTGCCGAGGTCCCCAGCAAGCGTGGGACCTCAGGCAGCCGCTTGTTTAAAATTTTAGTGCCGGTGTTCTGTCGAGAACGGTGACCCAGTATCTGCGCTTACGTACAGATGGGATTAACGAGGAAACCGGCATTTATTTACAAAGTATTCATTTGTAATGGTTAATTGTGACCGTTAATAATATGCCGTCCATGGAAGTAAGTGATGGGTGGCAGTAAATGATGGCAGTGAATGATGGATGGAATATTATTAACGATCACAATTAATGATTTAAACTACTTTGTGAATAAATACCTGTTTCCTTGACAATATTGGTCTGTGCGCAAGCGTAGATGCTGAGGTCGGCAAATTCGACTATGTCAACGTTCTTGACAGAACAGCGGTATCTGCGTTTAGTATCGGGGCATTTTCACGAGTACGAGTACTCGTAAAAATGCCCAGTATTGGCAGTGGTGTATGCCTACTTAAAAATATAATGCATTGCTGGGACTTGTAGTGCTTGGTGTGTCAGTGACAGTTTTGCCCAGTACCAAAACGGCTCAAAATGCTGTCCATCCCTAACGCCACTCCTCCCATCCGGTCTCTGCAAGCAGAGGCAGCAGGGATTGGAGGGGACACAGACCGGTTCCCAGCAGGAAGGAGAGAAGCTTTTAGGATGTCGAGCAGGCAGTGTGGGGAAGAGACAGTTGTCATCTGTTACAGGAGGCCAAGCCCTCCTCCCACACCTCCCTGCTCGGTTTCCTGTGACCGGCGAGTCAGGATGGAGAGGAAGTTACAAGCGATCAGTGATCAGAAATGATCGCTGATTGTTTGCAAATAATTGAGGACATAATATGCTGACTGTGTCCCCAGTTATGAATGAACAGGAAGTGCTCTACAACACTTCCTGTTCATGAATGTGGACATGGTAACTGATGCTATCCCCTCAGTTTATGAATGGACAGGAACACTCAGTACAGCACATTCATAATAGGGTCTGCACTCCCGGGAAGGACAAGTGCTGCGTGTGATTGTACGCAGCAGCCTGTTCTTGTCTATGGGAGGATGCGGCTGTACGCTCACCCGAACTGCACATGTGAATTTGTTTAACCCCTTGGCACCAGCTCCTGCCGTCTTTTTAACCACTTCAAGACCAGGTGTTTAGACCCCCTTCTTGGCCAGGCCATTTTTCAGTGTTCAGCGCTGCAGTACTTTGACTGACGTTTATTCCGTCATGCAACGCTGTACTGAAATTAATTTTATGCCATTTTTTAGGGACAGATAGAGCTTTCTTTTGGTGGTATTTAATCACCACTGGGGTTTTTCTTTTTCTCTTTATGGAGACATCAGGGGTCTCCAAGACCCCTAATGTCCCCTAGGACCCCCCAAAAGAAGCTGATGAAGCGGAGATCTGCTCCATCAGCTTCTTTCCAGCTTCTGAAGCTGAAGAGTGACACAAGAATGCGGAAGAGGGAGCACCGATCAGCACCCCATATCAGCACCGCGCGAGGGGGCGTGTCTGAGCGGACGTCTAAAGACGCCCGCTCAGATCTAGAGAGCTCCAGGCCGGCCGTTTTTCTACTACGGCCGGCCCGGAGGCAGTTAAGGACTGATTTACACCATATGCATTGGGGCTGTGCTGGCTGTTGTTTTCAGTTCAGCCCCAATGCAAGACAAGGCAATGGGCTGGGGTCACATCACTGCGCTGCGATGGTAATGTGGTGATGTGCACTGAGAAAAAGTACAACTTGTGGGATGTGACACAGTACAATTGCCTCCCACCCTGCTGCACCTGTAGAACTGAATGAAATGTCACTTGTGTCGGATCGGCGCATCGGCAATGCACACTAGTCATGATGCCTCCACAGGGGTGTGGAATTCCTATCGCCCAACGCCCGGGACATTAAGTTTCAGGCGCCAGGCGAGTAGTTTTTTTTTGTACATTTAGCCCTGCTCCGGACAAGCGGAGCTAAATGTACCGTGGGCTCCACCGCTCGTTTTTATACAACTGATCTGATCAGATCACTTGTATCAATCGAGCAACGGCGATCGGGCCCACCCGCCGTCGTGGTTTTCAGTAGGGATGCACAGATACTTTTCGAGTACCAGATAGTTGACATTTTCATGAGAACTACCAAGGTTGCAACGGTTGCAGCTGGGACCTGGCTCTGGCCCTCCACCACTGTCCTGAAATCATTAGTCTGTATTGTTTTACAAAAACTGTCACATGACAATAAACAAAAATGTATCAGTACTCGTACTTGTAAGTACACGGCAAGTACCAGTACTCGTACTCGCAAAACTGGTATCTGTGCATCACTTTATTTATATTTTTAAAAACAAAATCGTACATTAAAACAGAGATGTACAAATCCCGGGAGCTCCGTGTGCTCCTTACAAATGACAGCTGCCTCCTAATTTTTTGAATTTTTCTCTAGTGTAGTCTTGGAGCTCAAAAGTATCGGTACATGTACTCGTACTTGTACCGAGTACTGTACTTGGTATCTGTGCAACCCTAGTTTTCAGGGTACTCCGCTCCTCTTTGGGACCCAAGACCATGGCACATGAGCTCACCATAGAGCCTGTAGAGCAGACGGAACTTACCATACCGGAACTTCCGGTCAGAGGAGGATGGAGCCAGCTTCCTGTACAATCAGGAAGCGGGGCAGCGACTAATGACCTGCCTCCCGGTTTCCTGATTGGCCGGGAAGCCAGCCCCTTGCTGATTGGCCGGAAAGCCGGCATCAGCCAATCAGGTCATTACTTGCCGCCCGGTTTCCTGATTGGTCGCGAAGCTGGCTCGATGCTGATTGGCTCGGAAGCCGGTTTCCTGGCCAATCACAATCAAGCCGGCCAAACGACATGGAGTCAGCTTCCCTGGCAATCAGGAAGCTGGGTAGCATGTCATTACCCGCTGCCCAGCTTTCCTATAGTTTTCCTATAGGTTTCAGGAGTTCCTCCAGCGCTTGTGCCAGTCTCCGATCCAGTGCTGACTCCTCTCTCTTCCTGGCACTTCCTGTCCCACAGAGTCTGTGAAGGTGTACGCTGCCTCCATTGACTTACCTTGCGTTTCTCCTCGTTACCGGCCGAAGATCTGAACTGCGCATGCGCCCGCCCCACGATCCTTTGCGGCCGCCCGAGAATCTTCAGATCTCCGGATGGGAGCGTGCGGCGGAGATGCGGGTAGGTTTAAACCTGTTTAACTTTTTTGTAATGTTTTTGCATATATCTACTGCTTGCTAGTGCAGTAGATATATGCAAAACCCCCTGAGGGTTTAATAATCCTTTTAATGTGGATTTGTGACAGGTCTTTAACTCCAAGGCTATGAAAGCTGATGATTATTGATCGTTTTGTGAGTATATTCACTTGTTTTTATACCGTATTCAATAAATGGTTTTACACTTGGAGGCGGCTCTCTGCTTTGTATATTTTACTGTATTCTGGTGCCCGCTGCTGTCAGGATACTTAAAGATTTACTGCAGCTGATTGACTGTAGTCATTGTTCAGCTGACAATTTTCAACTTTTGTTGAGCCAGCAGGGCTGGCTCAACCAAAGAAGGGAGAAACATGGATGACATCTATGGACCTCCTTTGTCATGGCATATAGTGCACAGAGAGGTTAGGTCAGAGGTGCCCACAATTTTCTGTGTTATGATCTACTTTTCAAATGATGAGCTACATGACATCTACCAATGGAAAAAAAACCTAACTCGCTCTCTCTCTCCTGGCTGTCTCTCCTCACTCTCCTGGCTGTCTTTCCTTGCACTCTCTCCTGGCTGTCTCTCCTTGCGCTCTCTCCCTTGGCTGTCTCTCCTTGCGCTCTCTCCCTTGGCTGTCTCTCCTTGCGCTCTCTCCCTTGGCTGTCTCTCCTTGCGCTCTCTCCCCTGGCTGTCTCTCCTTGCACTCTCTCCCCTGGCTGTCTCTCCTTGCGCTCTCTCCCCTGGCTGTCTCTCCTTGCGCTCTCTCCCTTGGCTGTCTCTCCTTGCTTTCTCTCCATTGTCTGTCTCTCCCCGCTCTCTCTCCTGGCTCACCTTGCTGTATTTTGCAAACAGTGCAGTGCAATAGGCTGTGTAAACTAATTATTCTTTGATGTAATACATAGCACTTCAACCACCAGTATCCACCAGAAAGGTGTCAGGGAGCTTGGCTCAGCAGGCTCAGGCTAATAGGTAATCATGTGTGCACAGCTAAATAAATATACCAAAATGGAATAAAGGGGCCGCCATTCACACCATTCACACCCTTCGTGATCTACCAGCATCAGCTTTCAGAGCTTCTGGTAGATCACGATCTACCTAATGGGCACCCCTGGGTTAGGTTATGGAACAGCTTGATGTCACATATGACCTCCCTCCATCTAACCTTCATGCACTGCCACGGTTGCAATTTTTCTTGGATGGGATTATCATTTCAGTGATTTATTTCAGTTCTTGCCCTGAGCTAAGCTTTCACTTCTCTGTATGAGATGGCTAGATGTCATTTTTTTAATCCATCTGTATGAAAAACTGACACGCTGCTCATAGTATTCAGTGTCTTGCCGCTGCCAGTACATGTGCCTCATTCACTTCTTTCCAATAGCTGTTCCAGTAAAATCTTGGAATATTAACAGTTCTGCACTTTTATAGTACACGCATGCTTTGTCTTCCCAGCAAATTAATGCAATGATCTCTCAACGGGCAGTGGGAAATAGAAGTAATCTGACAACTGTAGTAATAACAAGCTTTACAGACATAAGCATTCATTTAATGACGGTACATAGTGTCAGTTTCCCATTTCTGAAAGCTTGTTGAAATCCTTTAGCAGGAAGACATGGATATTTGTAACCTGAACCTGTCGCGCCTTATGTAATTTTAGCTCATTCGCTCATTGATCAGTTATGTATTAAAGGTAGCATGGGATGGCGGTACCAAGGTTTGGTTATTAACGGCACAATGATCTTTCAGCTACAAAGATGACTAAACACGAAATGCAGGTGTCCGTGAGAACACCGCTAAAGATACATTTCAGCAAAGCCATTTACCTCCTATCTGCGTGTTTTTATTACTTAAACAGATTTTCCAGAGTTCTGTGAAAGTATGGTAGGTCAGGTGCCACAAATTATTTCATGAAATGTATGAGGATGGATGGCCTGAGCTTTCCAGCTAATTCTCTTCACCTACACAAAGCATGGACTGATGTTCCAGTTTTCATCCCTTAAGGTGCCCATACACCTTACGACCATCGCAAGACTTTTTTCTTGCGATGGTCGTATGCTTCTTGAAAGCCCGTACGATCTGCCCACCTTGGACGGGCAGATCGTACTTGCGATCATCGAAAGCCCGCCCCGCTGAGGGGCGGGCTTCCGATGATGGCAATGCAGAACGGGCATTGTGCGCGTGCGCACACCGGCCCGTTCCGCAGCTATCGGGCGAGCAGGCTAGAAACCCGCCGAGAATCGTACGATTCTCGGCGGGTTTTCGAACATGTTGGCTCGACAAAAGACGTGTTAGCAGCTTACGTCATCCCTAGCGTAGGAAGCTGGCTTTCTGTTTCTAATTAAGCTTTGTTCAGAAGGTAAAGTACAGCATATGTAAACTAGACATGTAAGATTTGTTTCATTCTGAATTGACATTCAGACGAATATCGGCATATTCCAACATTGAGATGCAACCAAATTTCCGAATGAAAGAAATGCAGAATCCAAACGTATCTGAATTTTTCATTAGGAAAATTCGGATGCTTCCGAAATCTTTTGTGAATGTCATTCGGAATGAACTCTTAAACCCCCTTTCATAAAGGAGGCACCCAGATCCTGCCCCCCCTCCCTTTGTGAATGAGTAGTTGTTACCCCCTTCTCATTCTCCTGAATGTCAACAAAGGGGCGGGGCGAGTAATGACATCACGGCATGCGCGTCGCCCCTTTGTTTACATTCCATTAGGGGAATGAGAGCTGTCACGATCATTACATGCCCCGCCCCTTTGTTGTCATTCGAGAAAGAAGCTGTCATTAGTATTGAGAGTTTGTTGGGATCAGGCGGGTGGCGGGGATTTTTTATTTTGTCGAGTGGCGGGCATCGTGATTGACGAAGATCTACATCGCTGAAAGACGTGATTCACCTCTGGATTACATCGATGGACATTTTTGTTTTTGTTTTGTTTGTAAAGGAATTGTCCAAAAATGTGTGCTGTTGTGTTTTTTTTTTTATAAATTACTTTGTAGTATGGTGTGGTGTGTTTTATTTGCTATTTAACTGTTATTTGGTGAATGAGTAGGGGTACCAACTATCCCTTACTCATTCAAAAGGGGGGTGGGAGCTGGGTACCGAAACAAAACACATTTTTTGCTGGCTTACATGTCTAATGTAAACCCAACCACTAATATTTAATATAAGCATTAACATTTAAATGTAATTCCAAAAGTCCTTTTCAAGGTTGTTAAATCTGCAACTTTTATTCAAATAAGATCCGGCATTCCTGGAGTAAAGGTCCCTATTCAGACATTTGCTCTCCTAGGGTGAAAACACCCTAAATTGCGCTCTTGCGTTGTCACCCTATCAGACAGGTTTCCAGTGGAGACTCCATGCCACAACTTCCACACACATTACAGGCATGGTCTACTGTTGGCACCATCAGGAAACCTGCCATGAGACATGTCATGTCATCACTGGATTGCATGCTTGTAGACAGGAAGTGACTTCAGAGAGGCTCAAGAAAACCAGCAGCACTGAGATGCAACAAAGGTTTTAAAATATGGCAGTTGTTTGTGGTAAACAGAGCTTTAACAACAAATCTACTTTAAGCCCTCGTTCACACCTGAACGTTTTGTAGCGCGTTCTACGCTCGACGAACGCTCTACAAAACGCTCAAACATCTAAATCCCATTGTATTCAATGGGTCTGGTTCACACCTTGGCGTATTTCAGCCCGTCCCTAACGCGCTACAAAACGGCTCACACCTGAAAAGGTACATGTACTACTTTGGGCTGTTTTTGTTGCGCGTTTCCATTGGGATACAGCCAAGTAGCCTTCGGAAACGCGCGTTTGTGGCGAAATTTTTTTACCGCGAATCGCTGTAAAAAAACGCGCGACAGACGCGCATATGCAATACGCCTGGGTGTGAACCAGGGCTTAAGGGGTACTAAAGTCTTCTGCAGTTTCTTATCTCCTCTCCAGCTGCTAACACCTTCATCCAGACTTCCTCTGTGTTCAGTGTCTTTGGCCATCTTGATTGGCTAGCCGGGGATGGTGTAACTCTTGCACATGTGCATTAGAATTAATTCATCCTGGCACCCAGATCATCTCAAAATTGTACACTGAGCTGGATGTTCTTACAGGTGGCAAAGGGGTGATAAAAACTGCCTACGCACAAATTAACATGATGGCCACTTGTATACATTGCTGTTGCAGCAAATTTAATTTGACATGTCACATTTGGCAGATAGTGATGCTTACCAAATAAGGCCAAAGGAGTCAATCGGACCGTGGCACAACCACGTGACAAAAGATTGGCGAAAAAAACACCATTAGAGTCATATATTCCATAAAAAAACAAAAAGTGTATTTTAATACAGCTAGTGTATTTACCTCAATGTTTTTGTAGTATGTGTCTTTTTTGTCCTTCTGACCCCAGTGTCACAGGAAAAGGAAGTGATGGAAATCCCCTCAATGGCATCACAGGAACCGATAAAACCTGAGGTTCTAACCCTTCCATGTTCTATCTTAAACAAGAAAGTTTAGCCTGGAGTTGGGATTTCAGTTGAAATATTGTATTTTCCATTGTAAATGTTATTTCATGGTAATATTTAGATCATAGCAGGGCTTTGAGGTAAAGCACACATTTTAAGGAACATAATTTGTACGATAGATACCTTATACCGGGGCTGGACAGATCCCAGGAGCCAGGTAGTCAATGCTTCATAATACATATAGCTGGCGCCTAACTTTTGAGGTTTTCTCTAGCTGTAGTCAGTGGAGCTAGCTCCTGGATTGGACAGACTGACTTCCTATTTCCATGTTATTTCCTCGACCCCGGTCTATTACTGTCCCTTTCTTACAATGTTTAATTTCTACTTTGCAGGTTTGACCATTTGTGGACACAACTGCCTGCTGACTGGAGAATGGATCTCCGCCAGTAAAATAGTGTGCCGCGTCGGACAGGACAAGAATGACAAAGGGGACATCATCGTTACCACAAAATCTGGGGGAAGGGGAACCTCAACAGTGTTCTTTAAGTTACTCAAGCCTGACAAAATTAGTAAGTAACTCTTAAAATTGTTGTATATAACCCCCATGAGCACAGGGCATATCATTTAAAAATGATCTTATTATAGGTGCTTAACCCCTTCATGACCAGTGACTTACAGTGTACGTCACTGGCATCGGGACCATTTTAAACAGCCGAAGGCTTTTGCTGCCAGGATTCTGTTTAAATCTGTAATCGGCTTTACAGTAGAAGCGATTCTGTCGGCTCAGCTGCTGCCAGATTACTTCTACGAGCTGGTAAACAGGCCCCCCCCACGCCCGACACCTCCACCGTGTTTCCCCTCCTACGGGCTGGGACCGGCTTTTCTGGTGTCGGGGGGAAGCTGGGGAGGATATCGGCATACCTTGGTTCACCGATTCCCCTCCCCGTACTGTGGGAGCGATGCAAATTACATCACTTCCGGTTCCATAGCTGTCAGTGCTGGGCTCCTGAAGCCGAGCAATAAGCTATTGAAGTGCGATCTGCACTTCAATAGCTTTTTTCAAGTGGTAAGGTTATACAAGGGGTCTTTTGAAGCCCGCGCGTCTTCACGGAAATTTTAAATTTAAAAAATACTTTATCACTTATTTTTTGTTTTATTTTTTACCATTTTACTTTTTATATATTTAACTATTTTTTGTAACTTTTTTTTATAACTTTTTTTTTTTTGCTTATTTTATTTTTTACTTTTTTTTTATTTTTTCACTTAATTTTATTCCTATCGCACAGACTAACAAGCCCCTATGTGATAGTTTGGAGGTGATAGGTTCTCTTTATGGAACCTGTCCCTTCAACACAGTCCAGGTGTTCGGTGCAATTTCTGACAGCTGAGACAGGTGGCACTGTGATTACAGCGCTCTGGTCTCAGGGCATGTTCACACCATATTCTGGACCAGATCTGGAACGCAATGCATTGCGTTTTGCCGCATTTTTGTTGCGTTTTTGACTCGTTCAATTTCAGGTCTTGCTGGGGGACCTCTGCAAGACCTATAGATAGCCAGGAAAAGAGCAGCACAATGCTTGCACATAAGAGACATGAACTTACCACAGTTCTATTCAGAGCTGCTCATACGGTATGATCATAGCCAGGGACAATCTGGGCAGCAATGCCTCTCCACTTGTCCATCTTCCTATTATTGTTCTTGTATTGCCCATGCCTCGGATCGTACAGCTCTGGGCAGACTTCCAGAAGTTCTACAAAGAATTTGGTGTCCACTTCAGCCATCATGATTCCTATCTTCTCAAATCTCTCTCTCCACAGAAGAATAAGGTCCAGGGGGGATGAGAATTTTTTTTTCCCGTTGCGTTCTGGTGCGTTTTTGATGCGTTTGTGCGCGTTCCGGTGAGTTCCAGACGAGCCAAAATGTGGCATGCAGTATTTTTCTGGTCTGGTCTGGAACTGACTGCGATGGTGTGAACTGAGGCCAAGAAGAGCATAGGGAGACATTGGGATGCATTTTAAGTACAGAAAAAAATATGATCTGGTCTGGAGATGATCTGGAGGTGGTGTGAATGGACCCTCACTGATCACAGAGAGCAGAGCGGAGAACATTCTTGCTCCCCGCTCTCCATCCTTAGCTCATTTGCCGTGGTCCCCCAGAAGAGGGGACCCTTAAAACCACAGCGGGGAGGGAGGGGACAGACAATCAGGCTGGTACAAGGGATCTGATCAGATCACTTGTATAAGACGTGCGGCGGCACCCCGCTGTACATTTAGCCCTGCTTGCCCAAATGAAACAGAGAAGCTGATTGGTTGCACTGCAAACCTCCAGATTTTTTTTGCACCAGTTTTGATAAATTCCCCCAAATGTCTATTTGTGTTATCTTTTACACCTACTAATGAAAATATTTATTTGCAGCCATCCAGTTATCACTGTTCATTATATGCAAGAGTATGACCCATATGGCCATACGCTACACGCAAATCAATGGATTGTCTCTCTCCACTTTAGGTTCTAATGCATATAGCTTAGATTTTCAATGCAGTTATTTGCATACAGTGTATGAATGAATATATATTTTTTCTAGATATCTTGGAACCATCCGCAGTGTGGGTGGAAGAAATGAATTATTATGATATACGTACAGACAGAAATAAAGGACTCTCTCCATTTTCTCAGCGACCAGCCAACCCATTGGGCATAGACATAGAGAGGTAAGAGCGGTGTATGGTCTTTGGCATACATATGCTGCGTATATCTCATCCGTGTGAATATCAGTTAGCTTGGAATTCTATATCTGTATATAATTGGTTTCTGAAAGGAGAGAACCCCAAAGGTGTCAGTTAACTGTAGATAACTTGCTTGGAAGGTGACATATCGTGTACAAATCAGTGCCCTTTTTAAGATAGAAATATAAAACAAATATGGTAGGGGCCAACACTCATTTTAGAAAGTGCAATCATCCCTATCCTAACTTAACTACTTAAACGGGCATGTAGAAACAAGTCAACACAGACCTGTCCAGTGGTCTGATGGGACAGGTTTCCTTTAAGTGTGTCATAAACTCTTTCTTAAAGGTTAGTTGCCCAAAAATAGATATATAAATTCTGGATTCACATTGGGTTTAATCACTTCTTTCTCCTAAATCCCACTGGCAAAATCTTTTCACAGTAGTTTGTGCCTCTGCTGCCTTCCCCAAGGGCATAACAAGGCAGTCTGTAACTATTAGGAGTCTGAAACCCAGAGTCATATGTTTGGGTGTTTTCAGTGCAATGAGCATCAAAAGGATATTGTTGATATTTGCCAGCAAAAACATGTGTGCAACCAGTAGGTATTGGACCAGGGCTAAGGGCCCATTTTGGCATCGGAGGATGCCTATGTCAGGGAGGTGGCTTTAAATTTGTACCTGTGCTTTGCAAATACATTACTATACAATTTCTAGAAGTGAACATGTAAAAATGAATGACTGTTTGCCTAGTTATCATGCTTTTGATCTAATGTTTGTGCATACATCCAATATCAAAGCAATCCTCTGTATGGTAAAAACATTTAACACAGAGAGAGGCTGACTTACTAAAAAATGAGAATCTTCCCGTAATAAACCGTGTGAATGTTCAATTCAGTTATCCAGTCAAGTTAAAAACAAATTCTTGTTTACTTTGAATACCCAGTTATGTGCAGATGAAAAAGGTAAAATGCACATTCCACATGAATGGAGAATTGTGAATGTGAAGTGAATATTCACACAATTTAGGGAGTAAACATTCTCAGCTCCTTTAGTAAATCAGCCCAATTGTGTTGGCCTTCCCATATGCCCAGTTCCTCTCCAGATAACAATCGACATTCATTTTGAATTTTCCCACAATTGCACAATAAGAATTTTAGCAGTGAAAAGAGCAATCTATTAAACAACAGAATACAGGTTTATTAAATGAAGTACATATGAAATTTGCTGCGATTGAGTCTTCTGTACACCGAGCACCCCCGTTGTTTATCCTGCTCTCGATATTGATGATCTTTGTTGCTTCTGCTTGTTTTTTAAGTGCCATTGCTGGTATCCAAAGGGTTAAAGAGAAGTTAGCCATTGAAGTCTCCTGTTTTTCTTGTAGGATGATAAGTTGATAAGACTGGGAAACCATCATATATATCGAATGTGCCAGTTTTGGATAAGCATTAACTTCTGATCATTCCCTAATCGTATTGGCTGTATTAGTTCTCCACCATCTTATAGACAAAACAGGAGACTTGCACTTGCAGCCGCTGTTCTTGGAGTAAATGTCTGCTTCTGATGATCCAGCTGCTGTCCTTTAGTTTTGAGGGATCTAGAATCTTAATTAGTCAAACCATGTTGCAGGATTAAATTGTAAGCCGGCCCCCTGCCCATGGCCTTCCTTTAGGTCTCTATGACCTCTCTTAGTCTGGCCTATGACCTTCAGACCGGTACAGCTGGGGTGTCCCTGCTAGGAGCAAATCCTCTTGCCAGCATAGCTCTAAGTGTCATTTGGGCACCCAAGCGATTCCACCTCAACAAGATGGCGATAACCTACACCAGTCTGGTCGTTTGTGGTGCATTAATGTTCCTTGTATTAAGGTAAATGCCAATGCACCACAGAGAAAAATCTTGCATACATAAAGGGATGGGGGGTACAGATATTCTGATTACAACAATGACAGTGATCAGACTCTTAATGACAGACCCAACATTTAGGGGGTCATTCACTAAGCTGCCAAAGGCATACGCGCATATACGCAATATACAATTTTGCTCTTGCGTTGTGTGTGCATGAGGCCTTACTGAGACCCAAATAGTTGCTCATGTACAGCGTACATGATCAGTCATTTGGGCACTTACCGGCGGGGACGTACAGTGTAAGTCTCCCATCACTAAGGGGTTGATTGAACAAAAAACACAAACACAGTTTTTGACAATTCCTTTATTGTTAAAAAAACAAAACCCAAAAAATCGTCCATCAATGTAATCCAGATCAATCACGTCGTTCAGAGATGTAATCCAGCGTCAGTGTCGATGAACAACGGCCGCCAACTCGCTGGAATCAAAAAAAGTTCCTTCTGCTGGTATGGAAGGTTCTCAAGACCAATGCCAGACTGAAAGGGCTGGAAAGGAGTTCTAGACTCCCTCTGAGTACAAGAGGCCTGGATGCCAGAGGAAGCTTGCCTTACGATCAATATACTGGAGTTACTGGCATTTTGGCTATGCCTTCAACACTGGACCTCTCGAATGCAAAGTCAACTGACCAGGATTTAGTTAGACATTGCCACGGCAGTAGCTTGCATCAGCCACCAGGGAGGAAATAGAAGGTTTTCAGCTCTAAGAGTGTGTGACCAGATTCTGACTTAGATGGAACTTCACATTACAGCTCTGTCCAGCATGCACATTCTAGGCTTGGAAATTGTCAGGTGAACTTTCTCAGTCAACAATGTCTGGACTCGGGGGAATGGTCTCTTTTACCAGGAGGTGTTTTCACAACCAGGTGGTTGATACCAGTACAAGGCAGCTGCATGTGGACCAACTCGCTTCCAGAACTGAGCAAGTGTGTCTCCAGGTCCAGGGACATGATAGCCTTAGTAGTGGATACTCAAGTGGCTTCGTGGGATCTGTTCAATCAGATCTACACCTTTTCTCCTCTGTAGCTACTTCCTCGTCTGCTTCATACAATCGAGCATCTCTGTGATACTTATTGCACTGAACTGGTCCAAGCGGATGTTGTACTCTGACCTGGCAGGTTCTCCATGGGCTCTCCTGGATTGCCGTAATCTACCTTCCAAGGACCAGTTTACCACCCTGGTTCACGGTTGCTAACTTTACCGGCCTGGCTGTTAATGTTGAGGTCGTAAGAAATGGTGCTTAGACGTTTCGGTTATCCCTACACTTCTGAAAGCTAGGAAATTCACTTTTTGTAAGGTGTACCGTCGCACTTGGAAGGCGTACTTCTCATGGTGAGGCAAGCAAAATACATCCCATGGGACATAATGGGGGTCTAGTCACTTTTTTTTATCCCACACATCACGCTCCAGTTCTGCCTCCCATATCAAAGGACAGCTCCCCCCATTCCTCACCAAACACTTGCACAAGCGTGGACACAAAACAAGAGGGACACACCCACCTCAGGAGTGTATGAGGAACAACATTTATTGCAGAGGATGCACTGCATCCTAAAAGTCCAACCTCACTGATGTCCTAAAGTGGGACCCCAGCATTCCAGTGCAGCCCACCTCATAGCAGTACAAGGCAGATGTCTGCAAACACAATGATATTACAATCTCAAAATTACAAAAATGCACACATCTATACAAGCCCCATCAGAGTATTACAAAAAAATAGGACATATAGTAAACATCAGAAAAACACATCGTATAACTCATAAAAAAACAGTTGGGTAAGAGTATAGCTACAATATTATTAGAGTAAACATAAGCCCCATACACAAGGGTCCTTCTTTTTAGCCTCTGTATAATACCTTTTTAACAAGTTTGTCTATAATGGAAATCACCTGTCTGAAGACATTCTACTGGGTATCTCAAATGAATGGCAATACTTTAGGATGAGTTTTTAATCCCCTGTAGCCAATATCTGCGCTTAAGATGTAATTGCTCCAAAGAGTGGGATTTTCAAAAGAAGCAGACCTATTCATGAATAGACTTTTGGAAAGGTCTTTAAAGTAGGAACACCTTAAAAAAAGGCATATAGAAGGACCAAGTCAGACTCACTTTTTATGTCATGGCCATACTACCAAAAGGGATACTGTTAAAGTAATAATGTATACTTGCCGAGCTATACAAATCAGACATATAAATATTAGTATTTGTTAAAAACTGACCTTAAGGCTTGCAATTCTTTTCAGATATACAGAAAATTGTGCACGTAGGAACCTTAGACTGTAAGCTCCTTGAGGGCAGGGACTTCAGTAAAGTGCTGTGTAAATTACCCATGCTATATGAGTGCGTTTTAATATATAAATAAAACGGTGGATTTTTCTCTTGTTCATGCAGAATCTATGACCAAGCACCTAGTATGAAAATTCCCAAACTCAATCTCTTTTATTACTGTTCCGTCAAAACGAGTTCAATGTAGATAACAGAAAAAAAAGACATTTGCACTAAATGAACCCTACATTCAAAGTACCGTATATGCCAAAAACACTGCCCGAAAATCGGGGGTCGTCTTATACGCCAGGTATACTGTTTTGTAGCTTCGGCTACATACAGTATACCGTGCTGAGCCAATCATTGAAGGCTTTGTACTCATTATTACAAAAGCCTGTATTAATTAATACAAAGCCTGCCGTGATTTGGCTCAGCGCTGAGCCAATCACGGCAGGCTTTGTATT